CACAATCCCCATTTCCTATTAGATAAACTGCAGCAAAACACAGGTTCTCTTCTAAGCCTAGCTGCTGCCATGAATTCAAGTTATTACATGAATTCAGGTTGGTTGCCTATAGAGGGACTTAGGGGGAAGAGAGGAGGGGTTTTGCAGCAAACCTGTTCTAACAGGCTTCCTTTATTTGCCAGAAAGTTAGCTCCATTAATACACATTAGAGTTGGAAAAGCAGCTCTTCCTGCTCCTAGGACTTAGAGCCAGAATTAATTGCATAAATAAGATGGAAAAATCTTGGTTTAAAATGAATTGGCTTGTGTGAATTCTGTCATTTTGCCAGTTTACTGGTGTTTCCCGTGGAAGTAAGATGTTCCTGATGAGACAGATGTTCCCAGTGTGGAGCATCAGTGTGGCAGCAGCCCCGGTGCTGGAATGACTTCTCGAGCTGTGCAGGTGTGTGTGCTGCCTTCCTGCAGGGCAGGCTCCTGTTCTGACCTGCTCAGGGAGCTCAGGAACGCTCTGGGACCCTTGCCAGGAGCAGGCTGACCAGTGGGCTCTTGGCTCCAGATGCAGGCATGAGCTCCTGCTGTATTCTTGCAGGTGCTGTGATGATTTGCCTTTAAAAGTGTCCTTTACCATCCAAGGAAATAACCAACACTTTTCTTTACCTGGGGACCAGAGTGTGCCTTCAGGGAGCTCAGTGAACACCCAGGGTAAAATAATGAATGGCAGGATTTTACCCCTTCCAGATAACATGTCAATCCACCATGTTTGGCACAAGGAGGTCAATTGTTAATTTAAACCCAGTTCTGTATTGAAAAGTAATTCTTCCCCTTCAGAGTAAAAGAAGCCGTGTTTGTGCCAAGGGCCAAGGTAAAGAGGGACATGGTAATTCCCAGGCCTTTGGCATGGAGGGAAATACTTCCCTAAAGGAAAAGCACAATGTTTGGAGAGATGGCAGTAACATGCAGCATGCCTTGCTGGGCCAAAGTCAGCAGGGACTCTTAGGCTTGAGAAAATGCAGAGTGTTATCATTGTTATTTTATTTATGTGTTTGTTATTTTAGCCCTGTTGGCAAACTTAGAGCTGAGAAGAAGGTCAGTAAAACTCATGTCTCAGCCAGGCATGGTGTGGGGCTTCATAAATGTGGTTGTTCATTCAAGCACTCTGAGTGAGAGTATGTTAAAGTATGAAAGTTACTGGAAGGCAGCCTGAATTGGCTGTTCTTTAAGGTCCTTCTCCGTGACTGTGAGGCAGAAATTTGCTATTTATGGCAGGCTGTTTGTGTCAATTACTTAGACATTTGAAGTCTGGGGGCAGACCCACAGTTGCTGTAGGATGCTGGGGTAAGGGGCTGAGGTGTCTGACAGCGCTGAGCTTGCTCACTTCTCAGGGCAGGGGGGACACAGGTTACAGGAGACAGCCCACCTCATACTGCTGGATGAAAAGCACAATCTATAGGTGGTTTTCCTCTCGAGAAAATGGGGGGGCTGATGCCTTCTGACTCCTCATGCTCTTGCTCCATCCTGTCCAGCTTCAGCTGTTTCCTAAGAAGACAAAGTTGTGTGAATCCTTTAGCAATGCTTTGTCTTACTGAGTAGGGGAACTTGACAAACAAAATCTTTGTCAATTTGTAAAAAATAAACAAACAACCTCTTAGAAGAGTTTGAACTTAATTATGTTAATATTAAACATAATTATGGCACGCTAATTATGTTTTCTACATTTGTGAGGAGAGTGGTGCTGTGCTCTCCAGACATCTGTACCATACAGAGACAGGTGGTCGAGTGCAACATTTCCAAGTGCCATTTTCCCACTCCATGTATGGCTGCTCTTTCATTCCAATTGCAGAGCCTCATTCAGCTTGGTGAAATTGAGGCCTTATTTGAGAGATTCTGCGCTGAAAGGCAAATGCATCTATCTTTATAAGCCTGTTTGTTTCCATAATTAGACACTGAATCAACAGTGTATTGAAGATGACACATTTGCTTATTCCCCGTCTTCTCCCTGTGGTGGCATAAAGCTGTGAAGCACAATAATTAATGAAAAAGACTATTTATTATTCAGGCAACATATCTTGAAATGGAAAAAAAAAAAAAGAACATGGGTTAAAATGATATTGCTGAAGACCACTGGTGCCATAGCAAAGCGAATGAATAATTCTGGGGGGAGAGTCCCATCATTCAGGCCAGTTGGGCTGGGTGCTCTAAAACTGTCAAATACAATTGAACTCAGATTCCTCATGTAAAACCCAGCAAGACATGGAATGCATGGGGAAAATACTGACTCAATTCTTTTGCTAGGGCATCTTTAAAGTGTTTTCAAAAATTGTGACTTTCTAAAATTCATTAACATGTTTTCTCTGTTTCGTGGCTGAGTGAAAATGATCCATTTCTTCCCAACCTCATATTTTCTTCTGGGAGAATCTGCCCAATAGGTCTTGTAAGACAAAGGGTGCACATGATGCTCTGCTCAGCACTCTGCCTTTGCAGAGCAGAGCTGATCTGGTTTAGGTAAGAAAGGCCAGAAAGTGCCTGACTGCACAATGCTGCTGTGTCTCCTGAGCACATGCTGCACAATAAGTCACTGCTTGTGGGCCAGTGTTGAGGATTGAGGAAAAAGCAGCAGCTTCCTCAGCCACCTGAGGTGATCCTGAAGGCCAGGGAATGGTTCCTACAAGCTGATTGACCATGGGTAAACCTCCAGGGTTCCCCTGAGATGCTCCCAGGCCATTTGCACAGAGCTGCAGTGCAACCAGAAAATCAGAAGCGTGTGCTGCCTGGTAAATGTCACAGCCCTGATGTGCAGCTGAAGTCATGCTGGTGGCAAGCCAAGGTTTGGGGTCTGGTCCATTTCCATCTCTTTCCATTCTACAGCAAGCTGTGAAATAGATTTTGTGTTTACTCTGCTTCTAAAGTCAGCCCACATTAGGAAAGGTGTAAGGCAGGAGTAAGAATTGCCCACTGAAACAGAGTGAGTGAGAGGACAATGACTCTGTCACTGCCTTTCGAGTCCTTGGCTAGAGTGACTCTGCTTTCCTTTCACATGCTTTATCCTCAGTGGTGATGCTGCATTGCTGTGGCAGATAAAGCTTCCTGGGATTGCAAACTGGGAGCAGCCACTGCCACCAACAACAAAGCTTTGATCTTTGTGTTTTGATACCCACCCTCGGCAGGGCTGCATTTTGGGAATACAGAATGGGTTTGTACTATTTTTAGGTGCATAGAATTACAGTAACATAAATGTCTTCATTTGAGTGTAACACGCTGTTAGCTAGTGGTTGGTTTGGTAGTTCTGTGCTCACTACAGATCTCTGTGTGTTAGGGAGTGAGCAGTAAGAAAATACAGTTTGGCACAGGCATGACTGCAATTAATGTGGGATTTTTTTACTTCATAAAGGAGAAGAAGTGTACTGATCAATAAGCAGCAAGTCTAAGACAGAATAGAAGAGTGCTCTGTGCTAAGTGGCTCACATTGTTTATACCAGGTGATGCAGTCACAGGCAAACAAATTGAATAGATATTGGCAATGTAATGTCAAGGATTCTGGGAATATATCCAGTCAATTCCTAAAATATTGCTGCAGTTTAGATGTTGTGATGGACATGATCAGCAGACTGTTTCTTTTTAATTCTTGTTTTTATGAGAAGCTGTAAGTACCAGGACTTTTCTGTGGCATTCTCTCATTTGATGCAGAGCGCATTGACTGGAAGGAAGGTGGCATGCAGAGTGCTGCAGGCCTGAGGAGCCAGCAGCATCACACCTGCTGATGTCTGAGAGGTTACAAACAGGCAGGAATTGAGGGAGCCTTGGTGCTTGGTGAGCTCTGTTCCTCTGGCAGCTCAAGAGAGACACACCCAGCTCCTTTCCAAGGATGAATGTTTGGTGTGTGCTTGCTTTTGATTTCCTGTGCCATTAGCCATTCTGGCATGCCTGTTGTCCAGATCTGTTTGAGGTGATCTGCTCCCAGAGCTGGAAGGCTGATGGCTTGAGAAGCTTCCTGGGCTCAGTGCAGGACTCCCAAAATTCACATGAGAATGTGCCTGAGGGTTGTCCAAAGACTCCCTGAACTCAGGCAGGTTCAGTGACCACTTCCCTGGGAACCTGTTCCTCGGCAGGAGTGAAGTGGCTTGTTCAGGTTTTCACAGAGAGGAGAGGTCAGCTCTGAGCTGTGATGCAGATTGATAATTCCCAGAAGAGCATTGAAGCCACAGGAGTGTTATTCTGCATCACAGCAAAGACATTCCTGGGTTTGTGGAGAGGTTCAGAATAAAGGAAATTCATTGTCCCAGAGGGAATTCTGAGTGATACCATAATGTAATGAGAACACAGGAGTGCTAGTGAAGAATAAAGTGGACAGTGCTTTCAGTTAACAATAATTGAGAACACAATATTTATACTCCACATACTGTATTTTCTCACGCAGTGGTCTTTAAATCAGAGATTTAATAGCTGTTGATCCAAGAGTTATTATTTTTTTAATTAGGAATCATTCTCCTCCAGAGCTTTTACTGGTCTTTGCTCTAAGAGCAAAAGTTGTTGAACTTTTTGGTTGAGACCAAAACCAGTTATCAAAGTTGGAAAGAAAAATGGAAAGAGGGAAAATAATGCATTTTATTCTTACTTCTCTTTTTTTCATTAAATATTGGTAGAGAAGATTCATGGAAAATACTTAGGCTTTTTTTTTTTTCCTGGAAATATGAGACAGGTGCCTTGTTTATTGTTACAGTAATATAATTTGCTCTTATGTAGCTATGGCACTTCATTTTGTGGGGTGTCATTGTTAAACAGTGCCAGGATTCTGATGGCAGTCACGTAGGCTAAATAGTTATGTATGATTTTTTTATTGCTCTATAATTCATGGTCCTTCTCCTTTGTGTTGGCCTCCTTTTAGCCTGACTTGGAGAATTCTGAGTAGCTGTGAAGGCCCCTCCAGTTCTGCTGGAAGAGCAGATTTTTACCTCTGCTCAGGCTGAGGCTCTGTGCTAACGCCGGGTTCTTTCCCTTCCCCAGAGGAGCTGAAGGAGAAGCTGCAGCAGTACGTGGACGAGGTGAACGGCCACAAGCCGGGTTTCATCAAGGTTGTGCGGCACAGCAGGCAGGAGGGGCTGATCCGGGCCCGGGTCAGCGGCTGGAGAGCGGCCACGGCGCCCGTCGTCGCGCTCTTCGACGCCCACGTGGAATTCAGCGTGGGATGGTACGTGCCTCCTCCCCTTCCCCTGGCCAGGCACCCTCCCCAGCGCTGCTCTTAGATTGCTGACGGGCATTCCTCTTGCCTTGAGAGGGTGAGTTAGAACTCAGAGCTGTTTAATGAAGGTTCAGGCACGGGCACAAGCAGGGAAAACGTGTTTGGGCTGTGTAATGGGATCTAGATCCATTTTTATGGGTTGAGGTATCTGCTGATCTAATTATGGTGTATTTAAATCATACTGAAAAACTGCACACATTAAAAATCTCCTCCAATAATGGAGCCCTTCACCCACCAGGGGGATGTATCTTCTTTTCATTACAAATATTATGTTTCTTTCATGCTCTGCAGTGTTAACAGAGCTGTTATTTTGGCCACTCTGCAAAAGTAAACACAACTGAAATAATGTATTTTAACTTGTTCAGTCTGGATTTAATATCTCCCTTACTCCTTAAGTAAAAATGTTGGTAAAAAGGCAGGAGCTTCTGTCCCTAGGATAGATCTATTATTAACTCTGCTCCTGATGTCCTTGATAATGCTGAGAGCCTGAAGTTGCCGTTACTCGGTAGCGAGGGTAGAAATGCTCTGTGATATGCAGATACTCATTTCTTCCATCCTCCAGCTCAAATCAAGGTTAACAACAGGGCATCCTACAGAAAATGTTGCACTGTGTTATTCTGGGGCAAATCCTGCTCTGTCAAAACTCCACCTCAAAGCAGAGAGGGCTCTGAATGGGTCACAGCTTTAGACTCTGCTCTTTTTGAAAAATACAGCATAAAAAATTCCTGCATTGTTTATTTGGTGCTGGACTAAATAATCTTTAAAGGCTCCTTCCAAACCAAACTATTCTATGATCTCCATCAGTGCTATGCTCATATCGATGTAATTTTAACATTCTATTTCTTTTTATTATTATTATTTTTTTAGGGCTGAACCTGTGCTCAGCAGGATAAAAGAAAACAGAAGAAGAGTAATTTCTCCATCATTCGATAACATTAAGTACGATAACTTTGAAATCGAGGAGTATCCCCTCTCAGCACAGGGGTTTGACTGGGAGCTGTGGTGCCGCTATCTGAACCCTCCTAAGTCCTGGTGGAAACTGGAGAACACAACTGCTCCCATAAGGTAAGAGTGGCCTGGATTGGTCACTGCCACTGCTCCCCGAGGCATGGCAGGGGGCTCAGCTCTGCAATGGGCTTTACTGACTGCAAAGTTCAAATTCCTGAGTGTTCTTGAGCTGTCCTCTTCAGCTTTGTCCTTGCCACCTACACAGTCATCCAGAAAACTCTTGTTTTCAGTAGGTCTCTTTAGAAGGGTTTGAAAGGAAACTCTTGTTTTCAGTAGGTCTCTTTAGAAGGGTTTGAAAGGAAACTCTTGTTTTCAGTAGGTCTCTTTAGAAGGTTTCCTGCCGAGGTGGAATGGCAGGCAGGGCTGCTCAGCAGCACTGCTTTCTCCAAATGTCTTGCCTGCTGATTTAGTGTTTAAAGGCCAGGAATGGAGTTTTCTTTGCAGTTCCATTGTGTGCAGTTCCATCTTCTGTGCAGTTCCATGAGCTGATGTGACAGCTGTGTTCTCTGCAGTGCTCCCCCGTGGGTGCACAGCTGTGCTGGGTCCTGGCAGCAGGTGCTTGGTCACTGATGGTCAGCAAAGGCTGCATCATGTCCTTGCTTTGGGACAGTCTGGGTCTGTACATTCCCACGTGCCCAGAGTGTTGTTAGGCTGGAACAGAGCAGTACCTTTGTCTCAGGGAGGGGAGTTGTGGCCTCTGACCCCACTCAGCAGCTCTGCTGGGATTGCAGGCTCTTCTTGTAGATAAACATTCGTCCCAAGGACTGGTACCTGTGCTCTGGCTCCCTGCAGAAAGGAACTGTGGACACTGTTCCCACCACCTGGAAAGCTGAACCTCAAATAGCACTGGCAGCTATTTTTCATCCAGCAGCTCTGTCTTTACAGGCTTTTCTCAGGTCCTGTCAGTCTGACGCTCTCTGAACTGCACTGACCCATGAACAGGACCTGGAACTGGAAAGCAGAAGATAAAAATTTAACAGGTTTGCCACAGACAAATGTAAGAAGGGATAATTTCCATGTCATTAGAAACATTTATTGGTGTTAATGAACTCTGTTAACGCTGTAAAAATGTTCCTGTGAAGACAGGTTGAGAGAGTTGGGCTTGTTCAGCCTGGAGAGGAAAAGGCTCCAGGGAGATTTCCAGCACCTTCCAGTGCCTGAAGGGTGCTGGAACACCCTGAGGGGTGGTTCTGAGAAGGCTGGTAAGGGACAAAAGGGTGTGGGACAAGAGGGAATGGCTTTGAGCTGACAGAGGGCAGGGTTATGTTGGGTGCTAGGATGAAGTTCTGTCCTGGGAGGCACTGCCACAGGCTGCCCAGGGAAGTTGTGGGTGCCCCATCCATGGAAGTGTTCAAGGCCAGGCTGGATGGGGCTCTGAGCATCCTGATCTATTTGAAGATGTACCTGCTTGTGGCCAGGGCTTGGAATGAGATGATCTTTACACTCCCTTCCAGCCCAAGCCTATGATCCTGTGATTAATTATGTAGAATAATTATTACGATTTTTAAAATTGAAAGCATTGAAATGCAGAGTAATGAGCAAATGTACTTTTCCATTTAACCCCCAAACTCTGCTCTATATGAGGACTGGGGAGTGAGTGTTCTTTATGAATTTCAGGTTTGTTCCCTAGCCCTTTCCCTGGCACAGTTTTTTAATTCAGTGCAATATGCTGCCTGTGTATGCTGGATAATCAAAACAAACACACCAACAAACAAAGCCATGTGTATTGGTGGATGGTTTCTATCATGCCTGCATTATGCATTTAGAATTATAACAAAGGGAAGCAGGTGCTCTGAAAAATACTTAACCATGAAAGAAGCATAACTTTTGTACTGCTGTTAACTGTTATTTTCTCCCTTAATAATAACATCAGAAACAGTCTTTCATTTTTATAAAGTAGGCACTATAGCACTTAGAGGCATTAATATATTGACTAATGTATAGATTTCCATTTAAATCACAATTTGTGATTTAGACAGCCTATGATCTTTTGGAAAGCAGATGTGTGCACTAGCTGTACCTTGAGTGTTCTCAATAAAAGCAGTAAATTTTAAAATAATAAAGTTCTCAATAAAAGCTGTACTGCTAATTAATATCCTGTCATTACCAGAGTGCCTGATACCAGCATAATTATCTGAAAAGACATTTTTGTTTCTTGCAATTGTGGATTATAAGGTAGGAGAAAAATGAAAAGGCCAAATGACTCTGTATCCTTCTCCACTGCATCTCATAAAGGTAAAATTGGACCCTCTGTTACTTGATTAAAATTGGTTCTGTATAGTAAAAATTGGTTGGTCCAGATGATGACATGAATAGAGTTTACTGCTCCAGTGAAGATATGTGATGTGTTTAAATCTGGCTCAGGACAATGGACTAACGTTGCACTATGCTGGTAAAGGCAGACTTTTCTTGATTCTGTATTAAAAACCCTTATCCAGATGGTCCTGTTCCAGAAATAATCTCTTTTTTTAATGGAAGCTCACAGACACAAGTTTGTTAGCTCTAGCTAGCCTGGCTTTTGGCTAAACACACAGAACTGTGCATCAGTGGGTAGCATTTGCAGCTGGCACAGACAAGAGACTTGAGGATTTAGCAAGGACAGAGGCTGCTCTGGCTGGAGCCTCAGAAACAAAACTGGGGCTCCTGGATTTGCAGTGTGAGCTCTGGAATCCTGACTGCTCTGCTGAATATTTATGTCCAATAGTTTGACTCTAATTTCCTTCAATAGTGTTCATTTCATTTAAGAATATTGGAAGGCAAGGCTCAATAAAACTGAGAATTATTTTCTTAAGAATCTGTTTTGCTGCACCATTTTACCTGTGATAAATACAGTGATAAATGCAACCTGTGTCTGAGTAATAAAATTCTTCATCATTTATCTGCTAATTTTGGTTGCTGCTGGTTTATTCTTCCAGAAGTCCTGCACTGATTGGATGCTTCATAGTAGACAGAGAATACTTCCAGGAGATTGGATTGCTGGATGAAGGCATGGAAGTGTACGGAGGAGAGAATGTGGAGCTCGGAATCAGGGTAAGGAAAAGAACCAGCCAATACTTGTGGCTTTAAAATATTATTTTAAATTATTTAAAATACAGCTTATTTCCTAAAGCAGTCCAAAACATGGGTGATGGCATGAAGAGGAGATCCACAGTTCTGCAGACATGTAGATTTGAGGAGAGTGGTGGGAAAAAGAGCAAAAACTCTCTTTACAGAACTTAGTCTGGGACAAGGGTAGAAGTACAGAATTTTGGATTGTTCTTTCAGCAGAGCTAGAATTTTACAGAGTTGATACCTAAAACTCCCTGCTCACCTGTGAACCCAGACTCAGTAAGGAGAATGGTTTCTCACAGGTATGATGGGAAAAAAAATTTTAGATGACTTTATTTAAATTAGGAAAATCACTGGCGAGCAAAGTGGAATATAGAGGCATTTATGCTGCCCTTCAGAGGGAAGGGAATTAAGATATTCATAAAATGCATTAGTGTGTATATTTTCTTTTTCCACTGTGCATTCTTCACCTGTTTACAGTGCAGTTTGTAATGCAGTGTTGTGTGTGATTTTTGTGCTTCTTTCTGTCTCTTCACAGCTAAACACCTTTCTGTTCCCTTTGAGACTCTCTCGGGTTTTTGATAAGAGTGGAATTCTTAGGTAGATGATGGTAATGAAAACGGGTGTGGTGTGTTATCAAACTAAACTCTGAACCCCTCTGAACCTATGAAATGTAAGGGGAAGGTAACTTTGTGCTTGGAACCTTTTAGTTGCCAGAATAAAAGCATATTGTTGTACAATAGCAAAAAATGGAGCTTACTGTAAGAATATAGAATTATCTCCTGAGACAGCAAGATACAACAGAAACCACTCATTTTTACTTCTGGTTTTCTTCCCCCTGTCAGATATAAAGAGTTATTTCAGCCCTAGTGAAGCACAGACCCCCTTTCAGCTACACTGGAGCACTCTTTTAAGGAAAGGGAGAGAGAAATGCAAGACTGCTTCTCTTAAGAACACCATTCTTCTCACTGTGAGGGCCAGAGAGCTGCCTTCTCTTCCCAAAAACTTATTTTGCAGCTCAGTGCTGCGATGAGTTGAAAATTAGCATCACTTTGATTTTCTCTGCTCTTTTTCCAGCTGACAAAAGCCTGTTGTTTCCTGGTGAGCACGAGGAGTTTTCTCTGGGTGTGCATCATGAGATGTACCCTGTCTGGTCTGCAGTACACACCTTGGAGGAGGTGATTGTTGGTGTGCTGATAGACAAGGCCAGAGAGACACAATCTCTGCATAATTGAAATTCTGGAGTAGGCTGGGTGGCTGGAATAAGGCCCAACACTGCTCTGATTTCCTTATGGCTTTTTGTGTCTCCAGGGAAGCAGTGCCTGACCTACATAAAATCCTTTTGTCTGTAACAGATTGTAGTGTGCAAGGTAGCACAGTGTATGCTGCCTTATCTGACTTTCATGGCTTGGATCTGTGGTCCTGGCTCATGAAAACAGATTACAGAGCTGTAATAAACAGATTTTTTAGCAGTTTATTACCAGCTCTTCTCACAATCCTCAGAGTGTCTGAGATGAGAAGGAAGGGACTGGGTGAGGGGAGAGCTCATTGTGGTGTTGAGCACCCTGAGGAGGGGAGGGCGAGGGGCAGGCACTGAGCTCTTCACTCTGCTGAGCAGTGACAGCACCCAAGGGATGGCCTGGAGCTGTGGCAGGGGAGGTTCAGCTTGGAGATCAGCAAAAGGTTCCACACCCAGGCTGGGCTGGGCACTGGAACATCTCCAGATTACCTGTGTCACTGGGCACTGGAACATCTCCAGATTACCTGTGTCACTGGGCACTGGAACATCTCCAGATTACCTGTGCCACTGGGCACTGGAACATCTCCAGATTACCTGTGTCACTGGGCACTGGAACATCTCCAGATTACCTGTGTCACTGGGCACTGGAACATCTCCAGATTACCTGTGTCACTGGGCTGGGCACTGGAACATCTCCAGATTACCTGTGTCACTGGGCACTGGGACATCTCCAGATTACCTGTGTCACTGGGCTGGCACAGGAACATCTCCAGATTACCTGTGTCACTGGGCTGGGCACTGGAACATCTCCAGATTACCTGTGTCACTGGGCTGGCACTGGAACATCTCCAGATTACCTGTGTCACTGGGCACTGGAACATCTCCAGATTACCTGTGTCACTTTCAACTGCGGGGCCAATGTTGAATCACTTAATCAAAACAGTCATTGTTCTACAAAAATTACATTAGGACTACAATATTAGTGCAATAAATAATGTTTCCATTTAAAAATGCTGCTCTCCAATCTGTGGCTATGTATTACTCACTGTACCTCATCTCTTTTCTATTTTTTTAAGAAGTATCTAGATTTTTCTAGTATTCTGCTGCGTGACAAGCATTATCATCCAGGATATGGTCAGGCAGACCCTGTCTGTCCAAAATGGCCTGCCAGGGAAGTTTTATGTATAAACCTGTAAGAGCAAACACCTGGAGGAACTGGGGAGTTTATTTTTGACTGCAGAAATAGCAGCAGGTGTTAGGATCATTTGAGCTACCTGTTTTATCTTAAACACATGAATCAGAACATGGTCCCGTGTCCTTATATTGCTGATTCTGTTCCAGAGGATGTAAAACTACTGTGAGGAATCAGACCCTGACAAAATGGGTGACAGAATTTGTCACCTCATCATCTGCACAAATACCTAGTTATTTGTGTTCCATGAGCACAAGAAAATCCCCAGCTGTTGGAAACTGTATCTGAAGTATCCATTGTTGGTAAGCTGTAACAGGCCACAGAAAGCAGGGCTTTGGAGGGTTATTCTCTTAATTCTGAAGAATTTATTTTCACTACTCTGCTCTGTTTGTCTCTGATTTGGAATACTGTTTTAACTTCTAAGATTTTTACCCTTGTCTGTGGCTTTGTAACAGCATTTGTAAAATACTAAACATATATTATTGAATAAATATTAATAGAGATCCTTTGCCTTGAGCTAAGTGTTGACAGATGAGTTCAAAACACAAATGCATTTCATTCTTAGAAGAAACACTTTATTTACTCCTCGAGCAAACACTTTCTTGCAATGCTGTTTATTTGCCCCATAAGAAAAAGAGGCAGGCAGATTGATGCAAGACTCGATAGAATCCTCTCTGAGCAGTTCCATCACTTTAACTGTGATTTGTCATTTGTGAAAGATTCATTTACTGTGAAGCAGCGTCGTATTTGTAAATTCAGGTTAGGAAGAGAGGTGCTTCTTTTTGGTGTATGTTCAATCATTCCCAACTGAATGGATATAAGAGTGTTTTTAAATGACCAGATTGTGTTTGGGGGGCAAATTGGAATCCCATTCTCATCCGTGTGACCAAGCAGGAACTGTGTTGGCAGAAAAAGGATGTGAGTGTAAGGCTGGTGTTTCTGAGAGTCATTTGGGCTCAGCTTCTGGGCTGTGCCTGCACAAGCAGCTCCTGTGGCCATGGAAGACCTGCAGATCATCTGCAATCAGCTGGATGCAGTCAGGTTCTGCTTTGGATGCTTCAAGTCTAGTTTACAATAGGCTTCTTAAAGGCCTCTTCCTACTGAAATCGGATTTTCTACCAAAAGCAAGCAGTAGCAATCCTGTTACCTTTTAAAGCAGCCTTGATAAAGCTTGATAAAGCTCCCAAATACCTGTCACACAAAGTTATTTGTGTTACTTTTAGGGATGCCTTAACAAATATTCAGTGATTTGCCTCAGGTCCCAGGCTAGGTCATCCTTAGAATCGAGGGAACGTCTGTCACAAGGACTTTGTGCTTGCAGAGGAATTTGTGTACACGAGGATGTAATGGCCATGTTAAGTGGGTAAGAGGAAATTTTACTGGAAGGTAAAAGCTCCTTAAGGGAAAAGGGTTGGTTTTTGTTCCCACTAAGTGGTAAATCAGGACTTTACATCGGCTAACCCAGGAGGAAAATTGCATTTATGCAATTATGGTTTTAATTATGGTTAGACTGAGAAGGGTGCACTACTTTTGTACAGCATGTTGCTGTAGTGAAATTAATTGCTTCATTTCTTGCCAGTCTGGTGGCTTCTCTGCAGATCTGTTGTGAAGCTGATGTTCTTTGTGTTGGTGGAGAGCTAGAGTGCAGTTAATGGAGATGGAGAAATGAGCTGTTTGAGCAGAGGACAGTCCCAGTGCTCTTTGGGGTATTTTCTGTACATCAGGGTCCCTGCGTGGCAGGGCAAGCACATGTGAAATCTATCATGCCTCTCTCTGATCTATTGTTTTTTTAAGTTCCAGAAGTTGCTTCCATTGTATTTGTTTGTTTTGGGATGGGTCTTGTTTTGCAGTTTGGGGTTTTTAATGTGTTTTTAGGTCTTACCTATCTTGTTTTTTCTTTAACCTCCCCCTCACGTCTTCTGGGGTCATGATTTTCCATTGCCTGTTAGTTGAGTGAGTCTCTCCCAGTTGGTCATAGAAACTGGTGGCTGCTTACGTGTTCCAGCCATTTCCTGGCTGTGTATCCTGATTGTTTCTCACCTGAGATCTTTCTTATAATATTGCCCTTGGGATACAGTGTTCTTTTTGTGAGTCACAAGCAAGTGAAGGTATTTACACTTGCCCCCAAATCCCCGTATTTATCTGGAAACATTTTGCCCTTCTTCCCTAGAAGTTTCCAGCAATTTAACCTGTCAGTGTTCCTAACACAGGCCACAAGTCACATGAAGCTGGGACTTGATTGCCTGTAAATAGATGTCTGTTTTTATTAGGGAAAGTCTTTGCACAGTGCTCCTGGCCACGGCTGGGCTGGAGATGATTTTGTTCCTTGTAGCTGCTGCAGTGCTGTGGTTTGGGTTTAGGATGAGGATGATGTCAAACCACACCAGCAGTGTTCCAGCTCCAGTGTGGTTTCACAGCACAAGGCTGTGTTTTCTCCTTCTCCTTGCCACGCTCTGGTTCTTGCAGCAGCTCAGCAGTGCTTTGGCTCTGCCCCTCACCTGCTGCTGCTGCTGAACAGCTCTGCTTCAGCAAACTCCTGTCCTCTGTTTA